GCCCCCAATTATTTTTGGATGATAAACATTTGTATCAGGTCAACAAAACATGGGCATAGTAACAATATTTTTTATACTGCATTTACCCATTTTAAATATAGTAACCTCACTCATTTGTAGCAACTAAGGAAAAAAAGTAATTAATTCAGAAAATCTTTTCAGGACCCCACCTTGATTTTTCGGGACCCCACTTTGGGTCCCAACCCCAACTTTGGGAAACACTGCTCTAATACAATGTCTTGTCCTAATATTTTAAAATGATTTTTCCATGTTTGTATTTTATAAATGCTTCCATGTTTTTATTCCAAATGCWTCCCAGCTGTCCCAGTGTTGAGTGTTCTTAATATATTCAACAGTGGCACATTGACTCACTACCGTCTCAGCATGATGAATAGTTGTCTATAAATCAATATCAAGTCTGTTTGATGGACAACGTGGAAAATTAAGTGCAGAGGACAAAAGAGCGGCAGGAGACGGAGGTTTAGACTCTTCGGTCAGAGATTTGGTTCTATTAAACATGAGTCCACTGATTTATAAGGAAACTACTGTAAAACACACCGTCTGCCTTAAAGACATCTCCACATGATTTCCATTCTGTTGTGGAAAATCAGCCCGTCGTTTACAAAAAATTCCTTTCTCAGGTGGCTTTGTTGGGATGCTCACATTTGTGCACGCTGCGTGTGAACTTGAGGAGAAAGCTTTTGTTAAACTGAAAAGGTCCAAGTCAGGAGAGAAGATAGATCACAGCACAACAAACTGTTTTCTCCCCCGTCAGCTTTCATTCTTAAGTCACTGAGTGCAAGAAGTGAAATAAATAAGAGGAAGATGACAATGATTTTACAAAACAACTGCTAAAACTGATTACAGCAGAGACTGAAAAGCAAACTGCATTAGCTCTTAACGATCTTTCTCTCTTTTTAARAGACATTTAGCACTAAAATCTATTAATCCATTTCTAATTTCTGTTTTTGGCACTAAACTGTGCTGTTTTCTTTCCCACAGAACCGCTGAGTAGTGTGTCATCCTTGGAGGTGCACTTTGACCTCTTAGATTTGACTGAGCTGACYGACATGTCGGATCAGGAGCTGGCTGAAGTCTTTCCCGACTCTGATGAAGAAAACCATAATCAGTCCCCAGCAGGTGAGTCTCATCTCTATCTGTGTTAAAGTAAGCAGCTAAGATCTTGAAATAAATATTAGGAAGTTCTCTTCTCTTCTGTTGTAAAATGATGTATATTTCATAAAAAACAAACATTGTGTTTGCTCGTGTAAATTTTAATGTTTTATTTAATCCACGATGTCGTGAATCTCGAGACTGTGGTTTCTATTATTTTATCACCTAGATGTTCTAATTTATGCCTGAACAAATCGTTACAAACAACTTTRTTATTAGTATGATCATTTTGAAACTCCTTCGCCTGCAGCTTCAGCCCTGATCTGACTGCTGAGGGAAGCTTTTGCCTAATTAATGAGAGAGAAAGAAAGGAAACTTGAGTCATACTGTAGGGATGTGGCATCCTTTAGGCAACATCAAGTGTTTGTGTGTGTGTGCTTGTTTGTGTGCGTTATGGAGTTTTTATATCATTATGTCGCAGCAGGATCCCAGAGAGACCTGCTGAGCTATAATCATCAGAAAGGTCATCTGACGATTTGATACGAATGCTTCTATAAAGAGAAACATTTTATTATAAATGTGATTGACTGTTGCCGTCTTATAATTAAACAGTTTATAGACAGATACATTTGTAGTCTTCATAAACAAGGTGTAAGAAAAAAATTGTTGTATTTTATGTTATTTCCAAAAATTAAGTTTCTTGCACCACAGTAGTAATTCAGTTTAGATGGTGTTGTGATCTGCATCATTCACTTGTATTTATCTGCTGAAGTGCCCCTCCACTTGTTCCTGATGATCAACAAGCAGCTCTGTTGTTGCTGTGAATACATGCAATTAAAAGGCACAAATTGTAAAGCTCTTTAAAGCTACAGGAAAAAAAGTGATAATTGACTTACCACAATAGGAAAGTTTTTTTTTTTTTACTAAAAAAGAAAAAAAAATCAATACTCTCATACTGCACCTAGTCTGGCTGAGAGCAATAAAAAGGTCTAACGAGATATAAATCACATTTATGGACATAATTACTTTGGATTGTTTGAATTGGTTCAAACATCATGTTGGCAGAATTCAGCACGTTTTGTTATAAATTTACCAGTCATACAGTCCACCYAACCGAAGACAGGATTTTCATTATTTCCATTCTACAGTACCTGCTTTTTCTTCTTTATAGAATCAGTTTCTCCTTTTTTTTCTCCCTCTGCTGTCACTTTATTGATGATTCTCCGGAGCACAGCGCAGCTTGTTAAGTTTGAGTTACGGTTCTCGTGCTTTCTGCTGCCGCCTGCAGCGCTGAAAACGCATATCTAAATTAAAGATTACACCGCWCCAAGTGCTTCATGTTTTTGTAATATTTTTGTTTTACGGTCGCTACATTGAATTAGTGATGCTGATAATGCCAAATGTTTTACTTCAGTGTGCAGTTTCTGAGAACTGATCCTTATTTACACTTTATTTAAACATGCAGCTGCATCTTTTCTGTAAATGCAAAGAACTGCTCAGTTCACKCACTGAAGACCTTCCAACACTGTAGCTGGTTGGGGAAAAGAGCAAAATTATCAGATTTTTTAAAACTGATTTTCTGCATTTAGAAGGTTTCTAACAGGTAAACTGTTTTTGCACAGCTAACCACAYATTCACAGGGGTGATTGGCTTTTTCTTGTAAATTATTAAAGCACACAATCTCAGAATGAGCAGCTTAGTGCTCATTTGTATTTTTGCCTTGAATAAAAATATCTGAGAACACGGACAGCCTTTCTCCTTTTCTTTGAAGCTTTGAACCTTTTAGCCTGACATCTGGTGCAGCACCGTTTTTTCTTCTTCTTCTTCTTCTTCAAAGAAAGTCTTTCTAAGTGTGAGCTGTTATATAGTCCCCCACTCTACGGACATTTTTTTATTTTTAGAAAGAAAAATGGAAAGCTCAGCAGTTTTCAAATCAGGCTACTGCGTGTGTAAATGTTCCAGGGTTGACAAAAAGCTGCACCACAATGTCATGGCTGAATTAAAGAACAATAGAGGTTAAAGAGGTACTGAATGCTGCAAATTATTCCACGCCATGCAGGGGTTTGTTCAGATGAGCAAACCGTAAATTGTGAGGAAGATTTTGCGTGATTTGCAAACAAATTTAGCTCCACTTTTTTTTATATAACTTTTCTGAATTTAAAATCCTATATATGGCAAACTAAATAAGATTTTTTTTAAAGTCTGTGTAATTAAATTTAAAAACCTAGGGCTGCCGTTTAAATGAAATTATTTTGTGTTTAAATTAGTAAAAGTGGGTCAGGTAGCACAGAGCTGAGCTGTGTGAGCTTTAAGGGAAGCTACATGTCAGGGCTGAGGCGGTGGTTAAAGGAAGGCGAGGAGCTAAAGATGGGTGACTGAGTTCAAGCTAAACGCAGTCTCTTAAATAATTGATTTTCTCCCTCTGGAAACAAAGCCTGCTGCTTCACAAGCTTTTTGAAACCCAATTAGAATTCAAGAAATAATTTTTTTATACACTGACCAGTTAGTTTGSTTCGCTTTGTTGTTGGATTCCTATTTTGCACCCATGTTTTTGTCTTCAACCTCTGATAGATTTTATATTTGTGTCATCTGGTTTTGTTTGGACTGCCTGTTTGTTCAGTCTGAAGAGAAGAACAAACCATATCTGAACACAGCTTTCTTTTCAGAGCAGCTCCACAGACTCTGAACAAAAGAAAGCTAGATTGTTCTTTGTTTTATCCCTAAATCAGCTTGATGAGCCGTAAAGTTTACGCACAGCCCTGAAAAACCCACCACAGGCGAAGCTTTGTCTTCAACAATACCGGGGTTTTAGCTGAGGACACAGCAGACTGTGCACTGTTGTGTTTTTCTTTTATTCATTTGTGTTGGTGACATCCAAGTAGGAGTTGCTTCAGTGTTTTTTTGCTTTGTAGATAAAGAAATAGATTTTCAGGAATAAAGTGATGCAAAAAAATCAGAGAAAAGATTTGAGACGTTTCCACTGTTTGACTGAATTACAAAAACAATAGTTTTGAATCATTCGGGACACTGATCTGTCCTTCAAGAATTTCAGTTTTTGGCATTTACTCTGAAGAAGCTCGCACAAACAAATACATTCGCACCCACATCAGCGATATGAAAACATGTTTTTCTAATCTGTCGGTGACACAGCACCTGCTGGGACGCCAGCTGCTTAAGATGAAGTGAAGCCTTCTGCTACATTTCATCCCACGAAACATGCAGCATCCGGGTGTTTTATTCCATTTGGGAAGCAAAAATCTGTCTAATGAAGCTTTTGTGAACATAAAAGGTCATGATTCAGCTGGCTGCATCAGAACGACTGGACGGATCATTATCTTTGGTACATGGTTCACAAACTCTGGATCAGCTGGGCAAAAACTGGAATGCACAAACAAAAGCTTTTTGTTGGTGAGTCTGTGGAACTGAGTGCATGAACTCATGTAGACTAATAAAGGTGTATTGTTTTTTAATCCAAGTGAGTAGAAGTGAGGAACAGGTGGAATGTAGGGTTTAACAGTAAGCTTTGAAGCTCAGTGGCCAAATATGAGAGCAAAATTTTAATCTCCTCACAGGTTGGATGAAATTTCAACAATCTAGTGATTCAGTAAGTTTMTTTTATTCAAACAGCACTCTGACTGAAACATGAAAACCTGGACAGAAGCAAAATTCAATGTTAGTAACAGAAGGCAGCAAATCTGTTTTTACTTTTCTATAAAAAATATTCCTCCACGGTTGTGTTTTTATGTCCTTTCTAAATTTGTTCAGGAGAGTTTTGAACAGTGACGACATAAAAAGACTCAGCTGTTAAAGACTCATTGCCCTGATGTACGGTTATTTAWATACAGCTGCGCATGTTGCAGACATGTAGCAACAGAAACACATCAGCAGGTGTTCATGGCTCATGGTGTTGCAGAGTCCTCAGTTTCTCTGGTTGATTTTCATCTCATTAACAACCAGCAAAGAGGAAGAATTTGTCATCTAAGATCAATATTTGTCCTTTTTTTTCCCAACAACTTTCTGTCTTTTATTGCCTCTCAGTTTGTGATGTTTGATAGGATTTGATGTAGATTGGGGGGAGATTTAGATTATCCAACATCTCAGAAGGATATTTACTGTGGAGAGCAAACATTTGGCTGATCTGTTCTGTGAAAGGCAGCTTTTTGTTTTTGCTTTCAGTCTCACTGATGTTAGTTGTCATTGTGGCAGGTTCAACATCGCCACCAAGTGGAATGAAATGGCAATAACCTTAAATGTAATGCTGTTCAAACGTTCAGGGGGTTCACATGCCTGTTGAAAATTAATTTTTTTAAGGAATAAAAGGACTCAACAGCACATGAAGGAGAACTCATATAAAGTTGATTTATTAAATATGTTTGGTAGTTAAAAAGACTTTAAAGGGGACATATGCAAAATCCACTTTTTTAGCTGTTAAATACATTTTGTTGCAAACTCTCTAGGAGTGCAGAAACGTTTAATTTAATCTGTCCTGGTGCTGCATTTTTACTTCCTTTTAACAGAGCCTGATTTCATTTCTTTTTTTGCAACACTGGTTTTTAGGTTCCCATCACCCGGTGCTCCCCAGGAGTGGCTACATGCGCTCTCCATCATGGACTCGCTGCAGTAAAGTGGAGACTCCCCGAGAGAGAAAACATCACAGTGACTCAGACACCACCGATCCCTTAATGAAGCTAGAAAGGCCAAAGCATCCCTAAATGTTCACGTCAAACAGGAAAGAGGAAAAACCCTGAGCGGCAGAGGCGCAGTCAGAGCCGTAAAACTAAACCGACCATCTGCCTCTGTGCACCCACAAGATGTCCTGTGGTGCTGAGGAGTTCAGCCTGAGCTCTGGACACTGTGCCCCCTACTGTCAGGATGTTGAGATGTGCAGCATCAACACTCCTTTGTCCTTCCCTGTCCCTTTTTTTTCTTTTTCATAAAAACACAAGCAAACACATGAGGTTTAGTTCCTGCAGAGAGTTTTTACCCTTTGAGCTGCCTGATCATTTAAAGTTTTGGTTTTAAGGTGAGAAACACACACACACACACACACACACAGTATTAGACACGCACACACATGCTGTCAAGACACAGACAAGGTACAAGATCAACGCCTTCATCCTTTCAGCACCTCAGGGTGGGTCAGCAGGGTAAGTTGTAGCCACAGCTACACTTTTGATGAGACAATAATATCTGATCTGCATCGAGCTCGTTGACAGGGTTTTTCTGCTGCCTTAACAGTGAGGCTCATCTCTCTGTCCCAGCTTCTCTTTCTTGATCATCAAAATCTTAGTTTAAAAAATGCACTTATTTCACCAACKTGCATTTCCAATGTGCCCCCAGAATTACTGACTTTTGGTGTGGATGATTTAAACAATGAACAAAGCAAACATGTTTTTTTCTTTTATTTAAATTTTTATTTTAAAAACCAAGTTAAAAGCCATCCAGACATGTAATAATTAAACTAAACTAGTGGAGCCTAATTTAAAAGAAATCAAGGTAAGAATCACAGCAAGAGGCAGCTGGATTTGTGCCAAAATACACAAAGTGCCAACAGTTGCATCACCATAAAATCAGATTTTTTTTTTTGTTTTTGTCACTGAATAAAAAGCCAATTATTTGTTTTATTTGGAATGTTTTAAGCTTGTCTCCACCAGAAGAGCCAACAAGGCTGAACTCTGTGGAACAATTAATTAAAAATGAAGGATGGAGAAAAAACATAAAAGCATCTGGTTCTATGATTTATGTCCTCTTGTTCTGTTCTGTTGTTTCAGGTTTGATACAGCAAACAATCTCGTTTTTAGCAATGAAAAATTTTATTTAAAAAAATGAGTGAGGATGTAGCAGATTTAGTGGGGGATTTTTTTGGCCTCAATAGACAAACTTTTAACATGAAATGTGTTACATAGATAAAGTTTTCTGGCTGTGAGCAACAATAATCCTGAGATGGTGAGGTAGTGTAAGAAAATGAAGAATTAATGACAGCTTTAGTARTCCAAAAACATCTTTATGTGCAAAGCAAATTTAAAACCAAAATTCTAAAATGTACTTTTATGATAAATATAAGTCGGGCTGAAAGAGGCTACAGTGTGCAGGCTGGAAATGAATATACAGCGGGTAAAATAAGTATTGAACACGTCACCATTTTTTCTCAGTAAATATATTACTAGAGGTGCTAATGACATGAAATTTTCACCAGATGTTGGTAAATGTCCAGAAATGAAGTTATTTGTAATAATGTGGAATGGCACAGGGAAAAAGTATTGAACGCATGAAGAA